TATATATTAATAAATTAAAAATAAAAAATAATATCTTATAAAATAGAAAAACTAACTTATAAAATATAATATATAAAAACTAAAAAAGTATTTAGAAAATATATAAAAAGCTATATAAAAATATTAAAAAAAGAAATTAAAATTTTATTATAAATAAAATAATTAATAAAAATAAAAAACTAAATTTATATAATAAAAGAAAATAATAAAATATTAATTTATTAAAAATAAAATTAAAATTAGGTAATTTAAATATTTATAAATAAATAATAAATTAAAAGTAAATATAAAAAGAAATAAATATAAATAGCTATTTATAAGATAATTATAAGGGAATAATAATTAATATAATAGACTAAAAGATCTACTAATTCTAATACTATATATTAAAACTACTCCCTTATATCTACTTAAAAACCTTCTTAATTATAATATAACTAACTACTTTTAGGTATTCTATTATAATTCTTCCCCTTCTAAATAAGCTTATCTTAAGCCTTAAATAAAGCTAGTTAAGATATAATTAGTAAATATAAACCCCTAAGGGCGTACCTTATAAGCTTAATAAAGGATTAATACAGCTATATACCTAAATATACCTCTTACAATACCTACTACATTATACCCTATAATAGTTATATAAAAAACCTCTAAGCCTCTTATATAGGAAAACCTCTATATTATATAAGAAAAATACTTTTATATTAACTAGGTTTTAAATTAGTAATTATATATATCTAGCTTAAATTACTTAATCTAGTAGACCTATATAATATTAAAATAATTATAAAATAATTATAAAGGAATAATAATTAATATAATAAACTAAAAAATCTACTAATTCTAATACTATATATTAAAACTATTCCCTTATATCTACTTAAAAACTTTTTTAATTATAATATAACTAGCTACTTTTAAATATTTTATTATATTATTAATATAACTTAAAAAACTAATATAATAATTATTATTAATAATTTATAAAAAGTAATTAAATTATAATAATATTTAAAATATAATAATATTATTATCTTCTTTTTTATTTTAATTTTTAAATTTATTATTAAAATTAATAATATAATTAGTAAAATA